TGTACCTCTTCTTTCTACCCCCCCCCCACCCAGCCAGTCGGGCCCTGGCCTGCCTGGGCGTGGGCCTCAACACATAATTACTCTTGCCCCCTCACCCCCATCCGTGAGGCAGCCCGCCGCAGGGAGGCCAGACGCGCTCTCCCGAGAAGGCTTGAGCTGGGACAGCTCCAGATCACCGAGTTCTTCAGGCAGCGGCGCGGCCACATCTCTCTGGAGGACCAGGCAAGAGCTTCACATGCATGTGCTTGCCCCTGCTCCTCATCTGTACATGCAATAACCTGTTGGACACACTGCTCATGATCCTAAGATGCCAAGATCCTCCTTTTCCTCTTCCTCCTCCTGCTCCTTCTCCTCCATCGCTTTCCCGGTACATAATCCTCTTCGCACCCCCAGACTTGTGGGTAGAGCGGGCCGGGCGTTTCGCCCGAGACTTCCTCAACCCTCAGGCACCTGAAGGTTAACAACTGTAAGAGTTACACTCATGGAAGGGAGTCGTTTTCAAAATGGAGCCCTCGCAAAAGCAACGCGCGCATTTGTCTTAAACAACTGCAGCAGCTTCAAAAGTGGGCTGTCGCATTCGCAGACCGCACATTGGTCTCAAAAGATTGCAACAATTACAATGTTGGAGAATGGCTCCTTTGCGAAATTGAGATCTCGCCGCAGCGCCACGCACATTCGTCTGACAAGTGTTTGCAGCTGAAGGGATGGAGGACGGCTCCTTTCTCAAAATGGGGCCCTCAATTGAGACTTCTCTGAATTCAAGCGGCGGGCTTCTGCATTGGCGATCGACCTCGCGACCCGCCGACCCGCCCCGCGACCAACCCATGTTGGTTTGCAAGATCCCATTTGGAAATCATTCGCGGTAACGCCCGTGACCGGCCCCACCCCTCCCCCCCTCCCCCCACCTCCTGATCACGTCACGATTCGCGCTGGCGCCGTGTGGGAATTGGCAATCCCAGAGCATTCCTGGACCGCGCTGGCGCAAATCGTGACGGGACCGGTCCCCATCCCCCCCTCCCACCCCCCAGTCAGGCCCGTTATCGCCAGGGAATGCAGTCAGACCTAGGTCAGAAGAACATCCTTCAAGGACATGAGACCATCCTTCGGCCAAAACACAGAGAACATCTCAGGGTACCCTCCCCAGGATGCGCAAAAACATCCAACAATCACGACGCACAAACACTAGGGTACCCTCCCCGAACCGACCTCGATCGTGTACCTCGGTCCGACTGTATCGCCAGGGGGTAACAAAACGGTCTCCAAAGAGGTCGGCAACAGCGGCAGCCGGACTGCGCCGAGAAAAAAAGCGCCTGTCTCAGACTGGCGCTCGGCCCCTCAGCCCCAGCAGCCCCTCCCTCGCTCTCGTCCCCGCCATTGTGGGGCTCACTGGGGGCCCCCAAAGATGCTCTGAAAACAATTTTCTGCACTGGAGGTAAACTGGCTTGCCTTCCGAAGGCCAAAGAAATGCCTTCAGCGAGCGCCCCCCCAAAAAACGGATCCGTAAATGCAACTGAAAAATGCGAGCCAGCCGTATCCGTAAGTGCGGAGCTCGGGTATACTCCAGCTCCGTCCTCCCGCTGGCCGATAAGAGCTTATATGACGACTTATGCTGCTCCTCGACTGGCGCTGGAGCGTCCACGATGTGCTCCAGGTTGTCCTGGTTATCTCCGGACTTGACTCGATTTCTCCAAATGTACCTCGATGTATTGGCGTAACCCCAATCCCTGCAAGTCGATTGCAGAAACGTCGTCAAGCCCTTCGCGAACTCCCTCATACTTATCCCTCCTCTGGCCAAACCCCTCGTCCTAATCGCTCCTCCTCCTCCCGTCCATCACAGCCCCCTGCCCCTCCGCCTTTTTCCTACTCCTTCCCCATAAACATCCCCTCCTCCTCCTCCTCCTCCTCCTCCTCCTCCTCCTCCTCCTCCTCCTCCTCCTCCTCCTCCTCCTCCTCCTCCTCCTCCTCCTCCTCCTCCTCCTCTCCCCTCTTCCTGCTCCCTCCTCCTCCTCCTCCACCTCCTCATCCTCCTCCTTCTCCCCTTCGTCCCTCGTCCTTATCTTTCTCCTCCTCATCATCCCGCATACCATCATCAACAACATCATCATAACCATCGGCATCATCAGCAGAAGTATGGTCATCCAGATATCAGCATCGTAGCCACCATCAACAACATCAGCAGCAGCAGGAGTATCGTCAACATCACCATAACACTCATGATCACCAATACCACCACCAGCATGCCATTCAAAGAGCAGCCACAGACCGTTACCTACATAACAACTTAACTCATCCACAACATCATTCAAAATCAGCTCGTCATCAGCATCATCATCAACTGCAGCATCGGCATCAGCATCAGCATCAACATCATCATGCCGCACATGCCACTTCTCATGTTCATCATACTCCTCCCACTCTCCATTGTCGCGGTGGTATGGCCTGAACCCTCTGGCACGGCTCGCTTCATGTCGACCACCCTCCCATCGACAATCTGCTTCTCCTCGGCGAGGGTGCGGGGAGAGAAGCAGCATCAGGCAGGAGATGGGGAGGGGAAGAGGGTGACGGGTGAAAGGGAGGAGGGAAGAAGAAGGAGAGAGGAGAGGAGGAAGGAGGAGGGGGGGGAGCGGGAGGGAAGGAGAGAGGGGAGATATGGGGGAGGGAGCAGGAGAAGGGAGAGGAGAGGTAGAAGAATGAGAGAAATCCGCCGGCCCCCTTGTGGGGCCACCAGGCTGTAGGGCTAAGGTTCGCAGTTTCCTGTACCAGTTGCAGCTTCCAGTTTCCACTGTTACAGTTCTGCTTCTTGCTGCTTACTGTTCCTTGTTGACTTCTTGCTGCCTGCTGTTCCTTGTTGATGGACCGCGCGAAGGGGGGAGGCCCAAAACGGGTATTTTTACAACGCCCTGGGAGGGTTCTCAAACAATTTCTCGGGGGGTAAAAATTGACACCCCTCACGCAGATCGGCGGGGTCAGGGTCCAAAAACACAAGAGGATTTGCCACATTTCTGCAATTCGGTGGCAGCCCTCACGCAAATCGGCGGGGTCAGGGCCAACAAACACACAGGATGTGCCACATGTCTGAAATTCGACAACACCCTTCACGCAGATCCGTAGGGTCAGGGTCCCAAGAGATTTGCTACATTTCTGAAATTCGGTGGCGCCCCTCACGCAGATCCGTAAGGTCAGGGTCCAAAAACATAAGGGATTTGCCACATTTCTGAAATCCGGTGGCACCCCGTACGCAGATACGTCGGGTCAGGGTGCAAAAACATTATGGATTTGCTACATTTGAAAGATCCGGTGGCACCCCGCACGCAGATCCGTAAGGTCAGGGTCCAAAAACACACAGGATTTGCCACATGTCTGAAATTCGGCAACACCCCTCACGCAGATCCGTAGGGTCAAGGTCCAAAAACACAAGGGGATTTGCTACATTTTTAAAATCCGGTGGCGCCCCTCACGCAGATCCGTAAGGTCAGGGTGCAAAAAACATAAGGGATTTGCCACATTTCTGAAATCCGGTGGCACCCCGTACGCAGAGACGTCGTGTCAGGGTGCAAAAACATAAGGGATTTGCTACATTTGAAAGATCCGGTGGCACCCCGCACGCAGATACATAAGGTCAGGGTCCAAAAACACATAGGATTTGCCACATTTGAAAAATCCGGTGGCACCCCGCACGCAGATCCGTAGGGTCAGGGTGCAAAAACATAAGGGATTTGCCACATTTGCAAAATCCGGTGGCACCCCGCACGCAGATCCGTAGGGTTGCCAGGTGTGGTAACCCCTCTGGTGACCAATTGGTTTTGCTCATTACGAGTCGGCCTCGCATGAAGTTCCGATACTGCTTCAAGACAGCGCCCAGGCCTCATGACATAGCTCTTGCACAGCGCATCCTCCGAGAGAGGGGGCCGGCGGCAGGGGGCGAAGCCCTTACGGATAATGTTATGGGACAGGAAGCAGGGGGAGTGAACAGGGGAGAGGGCGGGGAGGGGGGGACGAAGCAGGGCGGAGGGGTGGGGAAGAGCTGCTGCAACTGCACCTTGGCGGGGCGGTCCACGTCCAAAACTCACGATACAGTCGATCAGCTCCCGGCACGGGGTCTGACTTGTCTGACCGGCCACTGGATCGCGGACCCAACGTCCCCTCTTCGGGCCAGCGCCTCACAAGCACGGCGACCCCGCCCTTCGAACTCCGGGCGAACACCAGCACAAGACAATCTCATTATCTATACATATCGATATCCCGTGGCATAAACCTCACATGCCCAGTTGGGTTCCTGCCTCGCGCAATCACGGTCCTTGCCGCCATGCGTGGTCCGGTCCTGCAGGCGCTACCCCTGAAAGGGAGGAGAGGGAGGTAATTAAGGAGAAGGAGGGGGAAGGGCGTCAACCGACCTACCGACCTGCAAACCTACCGTGCCAAGAGGCTGTGTATAGTAATCGTGTGGCGTTGGGGAGAGACAACCTAATGGAAGCTGTCATCTGCCGCCTGCTTCAACACTGCCACGTGCCTCTCGTCCTCAAGATTGAACGGTGTTCTGGCCACGCTAATATCGTACGACATGCCAATTCGCTGCCAATACTCGGCGAACGCGACCTTGTACCAACTAATTATGGGCCGTCCCACTGGCAGCGTCCCTACATCGTGCTGTTTCAAAGTTGTTGGGTTTAGTTACATGGTGTCCACTAGGTCGTCGTCCCTGCTGGCTAACTAAAATCGTTGCGAAGGCTTTGAGTCGCCTGCGCGCGTGGTACTCGCTAAGACGGTCACTGCGGTCTTCCGGCCTCTGCGCTTACAACTGCTCGTGCGCGCGTGCGTACACGTAGGCGTTGCTGTGTTGTCTGTCGACGTACGCTGTTGTGATGTTTTGCGTGTGCCGGGCCCCTTCAACTGAAAAGTGTCCAAGCGTTGGCGCGAGCTCCCCGTAAACTGCACCGATTCTAAGCCGTACCGCAGTTTCGAGCGTAGAATGGCACAGGAAACCTGAAATTTCAGGCCAACGGAAAATTCTGAGCTCTTGAAAAACAAACCACATTTTTCCAAACGCCCACACACACCGACAATCGATGTCGTATCTCCGCTTGCGGGTCTCCTCCGTCGTTGACCAAGCATCCTAAATATTTTACCAAATGCATGTGTGGCACTGCTGATCCATGGCGGAATTTCCATGAGACTTGTTGCCCAAACTGAACGATTTCGCACTTCGACTAATGTAGGTCCAAGCCGTGCGTTAAACTCTCTTCCTCTATGGCATGCAAAATTTGTTCCAACGCAGCTCGGGTAGTGGATGCACATATGGTGTCGTCATCATACAAAATATCATCCTCCGTTTGCCCCGGCACTCGCCCTGCCATCCGTTCCTGGTCGTCTGGGTGGTCTGCATGGGCGTCATGGAATAGGCACGTCATTACTGAAAGGAACAGGCACAGTGACAAGGGGCATCCCTGGCGTATTCCTGTGGTTTGCGCGTGCAGTTGCGACGACGAGCCTTGAATTCCAACGAAGAAAATGGGACTCGAGCGCAGGGAACGAATGGTTTCAAGGATGTGTGGATGGACCTGCAAGCGTTTTAAGAATTGGAAAACTGCCTCGTGCTTGACTTTGTCGAACGCCTTCTCCCAGTCGAGCAGTGAGAGCAATAGTTTGTTGCCTGTGCGATCGCCGTATCCCATTACTCCCCGAACGAGGTGAATGGCTTGCGCCGTGCTTCGTGCGCGGAATCCGTATTGAGTTCGTTGTAGATGCGGGTCAAACGTGTACGCGAGACGTCTCCGGATGAAGGCTGCAAGAATATTGTATATGCTGTTCAAAAAAAGAAATAGGGCGCTAGTTGTTTAAATTGCTGGAGTCTCCATTCTTACATAGGAACACCACCCGCGCCCTCAATGCTTCTGGAGGCACGTTGCATTGGGCCCACCAGTCGTTGAGCATGTCCAATACGAAGGCGAGCGATTCGTCGTCCATTTCCCTGAAGAATTCCACATGAAGCTTCGTCAGAGCCTGGTGCTTTCCGTCTTTTGATTTGTTTCAAGACTGCTCGTAGTTCAGCTAATGTCAGCGGAGATATATCCCATGCCAAAGGGCGAGTCAGAGCTGGGTCTTCCCACAGCAACTGTTCCCCTGCATTATGTCCTGGATTCGCCTGTCTTTGCGGAGCGCCCCGCTGCTTGGTTGCGAGGTGCTTCGCTGCCTTCTGCTCTCTCGTGCAATGGAACGGGCGTTCCGTCGGATTTTTTGCACGCGTATGGTAGCGGCGCATACTCCGTACGCAACCGCTGGAGGCCCAACCAGCGGTGTGGAATCTAACAAGGCCTACCGTTCGTCTTTCCGACGCTGTTTTTTTTTTGCGCGGTGAATGACTTGATTGTTTCGTCATCGTTGCTGTGTTCCATGACATGCTGTCGCCGGTGGAAGAGGGCCTCCACTGCCGCGGATACCTCCTGTGGCTTCCGTTTTGGAGGAACCTCCGGTCTTCTGCTTTCTGCCGCTTGCCGCATGGCGTCGGCGAGGCTGTCTGGCGTGCACTCCTGGGGCCAGATTTTCCTGATATGCGCATTGCAAGCTTGTTGCTGCGCGTCAGAACACTGGAAATATTTACGCCTCTCGTGACCTGTTGGTCTGTGAATTTTGTTAAAAATTATTGTAATGGTCGCCATCATTGGGTAATGGTCAAAAGAAAAGTTTGCGGATGCGTGGTTTTCCACGTTGCGTACGCTGTTTGTTGTCCAACGTTGTGGGGCCAACACGTACTCGAGCATTTCGTGCGGCCCCCTTCTGGAAAGGAGGGCCTCGTTGTGCCCCTGGCGCCTCGTATGTGGCTAGTTTCTCCGGTGGCTTGTAGAAAAACGTGTTCATGGCTAGACTGTTCGTGGATACGCAAACATATATAAACAGTGGACGATTTTCGTGCACTTCGTCCGACTGGTGTTCGAGCCGCGCGGTGCCTGGGTCAAACGCTCAAATCGCTAATCGGATACACTGGTCCACGGGAACAACGCTTCCTGTGGAGTTGTTCCGCACACGCGTAAAATCTGCGTTTGATGCCTGTCGGTGCCGCCGCGGTGGGGCTGTAGCAACACAGTATGGTGAACGGGCCAGCATAATTCAGGACGAGGTACATTAGCCGATCGCTCACTGGCTGGGCATCGGGTATATAATTCCCCCATTCGTTTGATACTACGTTGGCAACCCCAGCGGAAACATTGTATTCGCCTTGGACGCGCGTTTCGCCACTGAGGTACCAGCGATACTTGTGGCGTTTCTCGCGGTGATGGTCGGGTACGTGTGTTTCCTGAGCACACAGAGTGTCAATGCGATTCTGCTGCATCCATTTCTCGATTATTGTGTGTTTAATGGGATCTGTGGCGCCTTGCACATTCAATGTAGCTATGTGTAATTCATGCAGGTGTGGAATTGTAAAAATGGGGGGAAGGAGCGCCCTGGGGTTCCTGAGCCCGAAGGGTCTGGGGAAGCGGGCCTCCCCCCTATGTCTGCGTATGT